GTAGTTCACCAATTCATGTTGACGTAGTTCACCAATTAATGTTGACGTAGTTCACCAATTCATGTTGACGTAGTTCACCAATTCATGTTGACGTAGTTCACCAATTCATGTTGACGTAGTTCACCAATTCATGTTGACGTAGTTCACCAATTCATGTTGACGTAGTTCACCAATTAATGTTGACGTAGTTCACAATTCATGTTGACGTAGTTCACCAATTCATGTTGACGTAGTTCATCAATTAATGTTGACGTAGTTCACCAATTCATGTTGACGTAGTTCACCAATTCATGTTGACGTAGTTCACCAATTCATGTTGACGTAGTTCACCAATTCATGTTGACGTAGTTCATCAATTAATGTTGACGTAGTTCACCAATTCATGTTCACGTAGTTCACCAACTAGTGTTGCCGTAGTTCACCAATCCACATTCACTATTCTCCACCAATTACATTCAGCTTTAAGTCTACATAATCTAGTTTGAATATGTCTTTTTAAACTAACTCACCTTTAACATTTATTTTGTTAATACTCTCTTACCCAAATGCCATTGTTTTAAAGTCGGGAGTTCATAAAACGTGACTTATACACTGCCAGCACGTGAAGTGCACAACAATCTAAGAGACGTGAAGCGCACAACAATCTAATAGACGTGAAGTGCACTGCAATCGAATGCACGTGAAGTGCACTACAATCTAAGACACGTGAAGTGCACAACAATCTAAAGAACTTGAAGTGGACAACAATCTAAAGAACTTGAAGTGGACAACAATCTAAGATACGTAAAGTGAACAGCAATCAAATGCATGCGAAGTGCACATCAATCTTATGCACGCGAAGTGCAAAGCAATCTAATACTCGCGAAGTGCAAAGCAATCTAATGCTCGCGAAGTGAACAACAATCAAAAGCACCGTAAGTGAACAGCAATCTAAGATACATGAAGTGCACTGCAATCTAATGCACGCCAAGTGCACAGCAATCTAATGCACGCGAAGTGCAAAACAATCTAAGATACGTGAAGTGCACAGCAATCTAAGGCACGTCAAGTGCACAGCAATTGCACCATGTAAATAAGATACTTGAAATGCATCTCAGGCCATTTGAAGTGCACCATATAAATAAGACAATTAAAATGCATGTCAAGCCGTTAGAAGTGCACCATCTAAATAAGACACTTGAGGTCCCAGGCCATGTGAAGTGCACTATCTAAATAAGACACTTGAGGTTTCACGCCCTGTGAAGTGCACCATCTAAATAAGACACTTGAGGTCCCAGGCAATGTGAAGTGCACCATCTAAATAAAACACTTGAGGTCCCAGGTCATGTGAAGTGCACCATCTAAATAAGACACTTGAGGTCCGACGCTATGTGAAATGCACCATCTAAATAAGTTACTTGAGGTCACAGGCCATGTGAAGTACACCATCTAAATAAGACACTTGAGGTCCCAGGCCATGTGAAGTGCACCATCTAAATAAGACACTTGAGGTCCCAGGCCATGTCACTTGAATCAAATCTTAAAAAAACAACAAAAAAACACATTTTCAGCTAATCAATCAACCTGTTTAAATATCCTCCCCCACCACGCCTCCCCTCCCCCCCCCCACCGTTCAAGGGGAACCCCCACCGTGTGCTCAAAATGAAGGACGGTCGTCCGAATGAGACGACAGATCATTGAAACTCTGGTCAGGACAAGAAGACTTTGCTAACAACAGACAGACCTGCAGCCACACTACCACACACAACTAGCCCTTTGGTTTGAGATGGGTACGTTCGTACTGTAACATAGTTATGAGATTGAAATATGTGTTGAAATTTGGCTCGTAGAATAAACAATACGTCACAAAAAACTGAAAAAACCAGTAAACAAAGAAAAACGGACACTGGAATTTTAGTTCGAAAGAAATTTCGTCGACGGAAAATTGATCGACGGATACATGATAGAACGAAAATTTGTTGAATTTGTTTTGTTCAGTTGACACGATCTAATGTTGGTCTACACAACTAGTTTATGATATGACAAGCTTCTATCCACACAATCTCAAGCGACCCCAAGGTTCTCAAATCTTCCCAACTCCTTGAGACGGTGTGTGTGCTTCTAGATAAACAGACTTGCCTCTCTGAGAACGTTATGAAGCTCTTCCATCTCCGGCAACTCCTGAAGTGATTGACATCAAGCGGTCCTGAACCCTCGGCATCCCAAACAAGTGGACTTTGAGAAGCACTGCAGTAAAGGACTGTTTGTCTATTGAGTCTGACAGTCCTTCACCTAAGCCACCAACCTCGAGTCTCATTCGAACAGCTTCTCGTATTTTTACCCGCAAGGAATTCCAGTAAATTGAATTTTAATGACGTCATTGCCCCCCACCGAGAAGGAAAAAATGATCGATAACTTTCTTGTCTCAAGAATTTGTTCTTTAACAGAAGGTGGGGGGGGGGAGGGGGGTAGAAGGTTGGGGGAGGTGGGGGGGATTTTACTTTGCCTTTAGATGCAATAAATGACAACATGGGGCGGCATGTCGAGGGGTGAACCCAATGTACATATAGTCTCACACTCCATAGAGTCTCACACACAATCTAGTCCCACACACCATCTAGTCCCACACACCATCTAGTCCCACACTCCATATAGTCCCACACACCATATAGTCCCACACACCATATAGTCTCACACACCATATAGTCTCACACACCATCTAGTCCCACACACCATCTAGTCTCACATGCCCTATAGTCTCACATGCCCTATAGTCTCACACACCATATAGTCTCACACACCATCTAGTCCCATATAGCATCGTGCTACATGGAGTCTCACACAATCCAGATAGCCTAAAGCAACATATAGCAGTCTCCCATTCCATATAGTCTCACACTCCATATGGTGTCGTACACCAAATTGTTTAACTCAACTCGTGTGGATGTTGGTACTGAGAATGAAAGATGGGACAGAAGTCACGTGAGCACAGCTGGCTAATCATCTTGATGAGAATATCATGTTCTGTTTGAACAAGTGAGGGTGGTTGGGGGAAAAGGGGTGGGGTGGATAAGAAGGGTGGGGAACGGGTGGGGTGGGGGGAGGGAAGGGCGACAATTTTCCAATACGAACAAAATTAATCTTCCTAAAAGCTGAGCAATCAAACAAAAAGGTCTCGCCATTGTCCGTGTTTTAAAAAACCATCTCACGCATGACACATGACATCAAGTACGACCATGAAACCACGGCAAATGACATTCACTCGGGATGACATCACCACGGATGACAACCCCATCCCGAGATGACACAGGACAAATGACATTCACCACGGGTGACATCCTTATCACTAGATGACACAGGACAAATGGCATTCACTCGGGATGACATCACCACGGATGACACGCCCCTCCCGAGATGACAGGATAAATGACATTCACCACGGGTGACATCCCTATCACTAGATGACAGGATAAATGACATTCGCCATGGGTGACCTCCCTATCACTAGATGACACAGGACAAATTACATTCACTCTGGATGACATCACCACGGATGACACCCCCATCACGAGATGACATAGGATAAATGACATTCAGCACGGGTGACATCCCTATCACTAGATGACACAGGACAAATGACTTTCACTCAGAATGACATCACCACGGATGACACCCCCATCATAAGATGATACATGATAAATGACATCATATTGCTAGCAGAGGTCTGCAAGATCATGCCAACAATGTTGACAGCAAAAAGGACGTCATACCTTATCACCGCGGTGAGCAGACATGCAAAAATCCCCAGCAGACATGAAAAATCCCCAGCAGACATGCAAAAATCCCCAGCAGACATGCAAAAATCCCCAGCTCGTAGTACGCAAGACACGCAGTTTAATTAACCATTTTGACTTTCGGGTCATCACAGGATTGAATTTGGGAATTGTAATGAAAAAGCGGGAAAAGAACTGGTGGGTCACATGATTATTTTGTACCTCTGAAAAAATTAATTCCGGGGTCAACCGCCCCTCTCCCCCCCCCCCCAACTCTCCCTTTCTATACCCGTGGATGGTAACAAGTTGTGGTATAAAAAAAACAAACGAAGTGGCTATTCGGACCCGGGTCCGAGAAGTTAGAGGTTGGGATTACATTTTTTTACAAATATATTATTGTTCGGTTGTAAGACAAAATTTGGTATCAAATGAAAGATAATTGAATGGACTTTATGTTTGTGAACTAAATTCTTCAGTTTAAAGAAAATAAACTACAACGAATGACATCCGAATAGCATTGAGTCCAAAGGGACCCGAGTCCGAATAGCGGCGGTGCGTTTCCGGTTCCATTTTGGGTGTCAAGTAAGCGTACGGGGGGGGGGGGGGAACTCGCCCCAACATTCCCCCCCCCCCCCCGAAATAAAAAATGTATTTTAAAAAAAAAATAAAAAAGTCATGAACCCTCACTGCAAAACAAAACGGGGAAAAAAAAACGATAACCAGTTTAAAAGAGGATTTCTAAAACCGGTTTTACGGAGAGAGGGTAAACAAATTAATATTAACATTCTTATTTTCTAAATAATATAAAACAAATGTATGTAGAACTCTCTTTCATCTCTTATCATGTGAAATTTAAAATTTGAAATAATTTTTGTGAACAGCAATAAGATTTAAATAGCACCCAGTGGCGTAGGAACGGGAGGGGCGTCTGGTGGAGGGGCGGTTAATTCAATAAAATGAAGACGTAATTCATATCTTTTCCTTGGAACAATTTGAAGTGGTATGATCAATGATCCGATTACACTTTTTAACTTGCTGTTGTAAACAACAATTCTATTTTTGTCAATTTTCACGAGTTCTAACAAAGAACTTTTATTTTAAATTGCCTAAAAAGTGAAGGTAAGAATTTGATGTCTAAACAATAATAATAACTGCCTGACTATGTCGTTTACAATTTAACCAGATCGGGCATTGATATTGTTGCCCTAGAGTTATAAAAAAAATGAAGACACTAACTAGGGGAGCGAACACAACAAAAAGCTACTGACCACTACTACGACTACTACAGTTACAGTTACAGAGTACTATTACCGTACTAGCACTAGCATTATTAGGCGGTGACTGGGTCTCGGGTCACAAAACTCAAAGTTAAAAAAAAATATATAATAAATTATGGCTGATAATTAAATTTTAAATAAAAATTTGTTAAAAGTTTGTACACTAACTATTTTAATGTTAGTTTATAGCTTAATTATCAGTTGACTTATAGAAACCGGTTGTGACTGGGTTTTTTATTCTAGGAAAAAGTGGTTGCGTTTTTATCTTCTGTGGTAGATAGATATCAACAAGCTGGAAGATAACAGTCTGCCATAATTAATGAAAACTACAAATTACTTGACCACCAATGACTGGCTGCTTACTACAGTAAGCTTAACAGTTAACAGATTTTCTGGATGCCAAGTAGAGTAAGGACACAAAGGCTCACAGCAAAAGGGGGAGGGAGGTCATAGTCATGAGACACAAAAACAACAAAATGTTTTGTAAATGATTTTTAATATCCTTCTGTACATTATTTGGTTTTGCATATTTTGCACAATGTTACACTGAACATTCAAAATATCTCTCACTCAGAGTCAGCGATTACTAATGCAAGTAAGTCGTTGCTGTCAAAAGTACGGACAAGCCGGACGACCAGCGGAAAGTACGGACAAATATGGATGCAAAATTTAGCACGGACAAGGGGGGCGAAAATACTAAATGCGGACGTCTGGATACCATAACTATGGCCTATAGCTGGTCTTTATAATCATGTCAATCTAAGATGCTGTGCCAAGCAGTTTGGAATGCATTGTAAACAAAAGTGTCAAGTCTGGAAGTGGGGCGGGGGGGGGGGGGTTTTTTTAACAAAAAAAACCCCTTGAAATAGTGCAAATCCTGTCCCACATGCATTGTCAAAGGCTATCTGTGAGACAACATTGGGTTTTACCTTTCAAAAAGCACATACCATGCCACTCTGGAAACAAATTACATCATGAACAGGGTAAACACACACCTATGGCTTTGCCACACAGTCTGCTTCGGCCCTGTGTGTTTCTAAAATCATGATGTTTTTTTAAAAATTTGCTATGAGACTGATGGCTGTGAATGAACTGTGGCTAATGTCTGTACATTTTGCCAACGCATAGAGAAAGCAATGTGGTTGATATGACGACTATGGACATAATATTCATATACCGGTATTTTATTTGGATATTCATAACAGATTTGTGACAAGCTGTAGGCTACAGCGTGGCTACATCGTCATTGGTAAATTGTGGTTACATTATGTCTATATCCTACCTACATCATGGCTACATCATACCTACATCATGGCTAAATTGTGGTTACATTATGTCTCTATCCTACCGACATCATGGCTACATCATACTTACATCATACCTACAGCATGGCTAAATCATGACTACATCATGGATGCATTAACATGTAAAGCTAAAAAGTAAATAAGCTGCGTGAAGAATGTTTGAATCGAATGAAATCTTGCTAAATACCGGTATTCCAAATTGTTCTGTGGTTACAACACACACGCACACATACACACTTTCTGTTTGTCTTCACATTTCTCCTTATGTTCACCGTACTCATGTCTTCATCTTTCAAATTATTGAGCATGATAATCATGCTGGCTGAACATGGAAATAGCACTTCGCTGCAAATAGCACCACTTTGGTTTGGTCCCAAGAGTTTGTTCTAATCATTGGTTTCACTGTCAAACATTTTGGAAGTCGCAGGTATGGCTTATGATAGCTGCAGGTATTGCATATGATAGCCGCAGGTATTGATTATTAGTGCCGCAACTATGGCATATGTGTGTGGCAGGCAGGGCTTATGAGATGTAAAGGTATGGCTTATGGGAGTCACATGTACGGCTTATCTTATGGTTATGAGCTTTAAGGCCAGCACGTCTTGTTCAAGTTAAAACACATAATAATGGGCACATAACTTATATTTAAAATATTTAAATTGCTAAAAAAAAATATTCAGAAAAATTAAAATAATACTTCTGTTACAAATGAAAAAAATAATTTAATTTAAAAATAAATAAGTTTTTAAATAAGATGAAAATAAATAGACGGTTCAAATTTAGGCGTATTCAAACTTGATCAGCGTCTGGACATCGATCACAAAATATTATATCGGCTAGCATTTACTCTACCGCAAGACCACACTAGATGCTAACTAACTGGCATATTTTAAGACCAGGCTTATGGTAATTTCTTGCAGCAGTGTAAGCAGGTCTGGTGCCGTGGTTTTGCTTGGTACACTTTGTTATTTCTTAGCAAAACTAAAAAGTACCGGTACAGGAAGGCCTTTTCCACTGAAGTACCGGTACAGGAATGCCTTTCCACTGCATTTCTGTTTGTAGATAACCGGTTTCAAACTTGATTGCTCAAACTGATAACCAGTTTGCTAAAAATGACATATTAACATCCCTACTTAATAATGTCATGTCCTAGTGACCAGTGCGTCCCACATTAAAGTTGAAAATAAAGACAACAAAAAATTTTAAAAGACAATCTTTTCTTCAATGAGGTTGAATGCACTAAAAATAGAAAATAATTAAAGATTTCTTAAGATACATCAGCAAATAAATAACTTTGTGTGTTATAGGTCCATATTATTATCATTTGATAATCAGCTTAACTCTCACCTAATCGCATAAATAAATTGTGATATTCAAGCTAAGCTGGCTTAAGTATAGGGAAGGATATCAGAAATTAAATGAGGCTCTGAAAGAAATTAGAACATGTGGGTTGCTATTACTGCCACAACATTAACCTCCAGCGGGCCTCTACTGTGTCTCCCTGCAATGCCTCTACTGTGTCTCCCTGCAACGCCTCTACTGTGTCTCCCTGCAAAGCCTCCCCAATAAAAGGAGATGGATGAAGCAGAAGAATGACATTGACAGAGATTATAGTGATAATGTCTTAGGCTTTGTAGAGATTGTAATTATCATGTCTTAGGCTTTGTGGAGACAATAAAGGTTATGTCTTAGGCTTTGTGTAGACAATAATGATTATGTCTTAGGCTTTGTGGAGATAATAATGATTATGTCTTAGTCTTTGTGGAGATAATAATGATTATGTCTTAGGCTTTGTGGAGATTATAATGATTATGTCTTAAGCTCTGTTACTGTTTTTGAATGTTTCAAAAGAGAAAACTCTTTACAATTTTAACCTAGAACTTTGGAGTCATTTGACAATGATAAACTTACCTCAGAATCCATGCCTCAGAGCCCATGCCACAGAGCCCAAGCCACAGAGCCCATGCCACAGAGCCCATGCCACAGAGCCCATGCCTCAGAGCCCATGCCACAGAGCCCATGCCTCTGATATTTAAGGGGTCCAAAGTTGTGATGTGAAACTATCTGTTTTCCATGAACTTGACACCAGGGTCACAAAAAAGAAAAATGGAAGAGGGCCTCCTAATGACACATGACGGCTCTGCCTTCCCTACGTGCTTTGCACCTCATTGTGTCACAAATTTTTTATTGTAGATGAATGGGAGATCCCTAAAACAAGAAAGCTTCAATATATTTATCTGTATGTCAAGTGTTAGACATTAGAGGAAGACAACACTGGCTGTCAATCAGCTGTCTTAGGACATGCTGAAAGTCGAGTGTTAGACATTAGAGGAAGACAACACTGGCTGTCGATCAGCTGTGTTAGGACATGCTGAAAGTCCACACCATGAACCTCCAGCAGGCCTCACACGTTGCCGATAATTACCAACTGTACCTCCCGACATAAGAGAAAGACACATAACTTTGAAATACAGCATCTGTCTTCCTTGCCTTCGTTGGATCAGTACTGTAAACCATCTTGTCTGCTCATCTTTTTATTAAGAAGTAAAGTTTATTAAAAGGCTGCAAGTTATTAAAAAAATGACTCGCTCATGCAATCAGCCGGAAAAATTACCAAAGAATTTTAAATCATATTAATTTCAAGAGTCGAAACATACACATACACATAAGCAGTGGTGATCTACAAGTAAGCAGTGGTGACATACACATAAGTAGTGGGGACATACACATAAGTAATGGTGATATTCTGTAACTTGTAATTATTTTTGAAAGAATTGGTCCCATTGTTGAGTCAAGACTAGTGAATATAAATATCTAATCTGAGAATTTAGTGTCTTTGGTAACAGCACTGTGCATTCCCTGTGCATTTACCTAACCCTAACAAATTTCCATGATTTTTTAAATTCCAGCTCTTGAACAATGGCGTTGAGAAACAACGGAGATGTGGTCCTTCTGTACGCACATCCGTCAATGCAGGAACTGGCCAAGCAAATTGCAGAGTGTTGTCACAAAAGCAGTTCGTTGTCTGACGCCACAAGCTCAAGCACATCAGCACAGTCCAGTTCACCCTGTGTCGACGGTAAAGTTGTAGTGTCTGACCTCACCCAGTCTACACAAGAGAGTTCAAAGACTCAAGTGCCACACGTACGTTTCACATTTTATTGTTTATTTTTAAAAAAATCTTTCAAACTATTTTTAAATGTACATATGGAAAATAAATTCAGAGTAAAAACAGACATTTACATTTTTAGTGGACGTTTATATTCCTCATAGCTAACTAGCATCTAGCGTTCAATGAGGTCAGATTTAGTTGATTTTTGGTTGGTCTACAGGCCGGTGCCGATTTATGGATATGAGCAATAATAATCACAGTGATAAGCGTAAGCACTGGCGTCACTAGAATAGAAGCCGTCCGTGGCAGGCCATATTTTTGCCGCCTCTCTTCCACGAAAAAAACCCATCTGAGCTGGCCAAAAATGTCACCCATCCTCAGGAAGTAAAAAATTGTCCCCTCCCCCACTTTACAACAACACAAAAATATTTGAGTGGGATAAAAGTGTGTGTTTAGAAGGCACCATGAGGGGGGCAGTAAAATCTCATCCTATTTTAAAAGTATGATATCTGCATTTCTAGAATTTTTTAATTTTTTTTAATGCATTTTTTTTAATGACAAGAGTGTCACATGGCTAAGCCAGAGTGTCACATAACTCAGCCGGAGTGTCACATGACGTAGCCATCACTGATTGTAGATGACCTCTCAGTGTCAACATATTACCCTCCTTTTATTTATGAGAATGTACACAGGGCATTAACATTGAAGACTACTGGACATGTATGTGTATGTCGCAGGAAGCTTAATTCTGTATGTGTCCTACTTGAGCATTTGTTGTCTTACATAGTGGTTACCTGTAGTGAGTAAATACAAATGTGGCTACTGTAGTGAGTAAATATAAATGTGGCTACCTGTAGTGAGTCAATATAAATGTGGCTACCTGTAGTGAGTCAATATAAATGTGGCTACCTGTAGTGAGTAAATATAAATGTGGCTACCTGTAGTGAGTAAATATAAATGTGGCTACCTGTAGTGAGTAAATATAAATGTGGCCTCCTGTAGTGAGTCAATATAATTGTGGCTACCTGTAGTGAGTCAATATAAATGTGGCTACCAGTAAAATATAAATGTGGCTACCAGTAAAATATGAATGTGGCTACCAGTAAAATATGAATGTGGCTACCCATAGTGAGTGAATATAAATGTGGCTACCTGTAGTGAGTCAATATAATTGTGGCTACCTGTAGTGAGTCAATATAAATGTGGCTACCAGTAAAATATAAATGTGGCTACCAGTAAAATATGAATGTGGCTACCAGTAAAATATAAATGTGGCTACCCATAGTGAGTGAATATAAATTTAGTAAATATAAAGATTGTTTTGTTTGTTTATCTCGACTGTCACTGACACCCCCACTCCCCTGCCCGAAACAGTTTCCTTCCATGGGACTCTGGGTAAGAATGGCACATTGCTGTGTAATGCTTTGAAATTCCAACATATGAATTGCTTGCTCCTGAACTGCTCATTGCTCCTGGACTGCTCTTTGACATTTGATCACTCAATTTGAATTGAAAATTAAATTGTCACATAAATAACTTACTTGCATGTCAAAAGTGTTTGCAAAATTTCCTACGTCAGTTGAATCAAATGATAGTGACCTTGATCTTAATTATTTAATCAGCTTTGAAAGCTGCTAATCTCAAATCTTGATTTGACGACTAACATTTCTGTGTGTCTCTGTGTGTGCAATCCTAACATGTGTCAAGATTTTGATGTTTGCTCTGAATGTTTGTGTAACAACACTAAATCACCTGGCAACTTCTGACACCAATTACTGACACCAACTACTGACACCAACTACTGACACCAACCACTGACACCAACTACTGACACATACTGCTGACACCAACTACTGACACCAACATTGGGATTCCATTAATTTAATTTCTTGAAGCTTAACATACATTTTAAAAAATTCATTATATTTTAAAATGTTATTTCTCTACTATTAAAACCGCATTATTGCCCCAAATATGATGGAATTGTGTGTGTGTGGGGGGGGGGGGCACTCTATTCTACGAGTACCGATATGTTGATTCCCTAAAGTCATGATATTTTTAAATCTATGAATGTATCTGGGCTCGTAGTTGAAATTTAATTTTGTTTCATTATATTTTAAAATGTTATTTCTCTACTATTAAAACCGCATTATTGCCCCAAATATGATGGAATTGTGTGTGTGTGGGGGGGGGGGGGCACTCTATTCTACGAGTACCGATATGTTGATTCCCTAAAGTCATGATATTTTTAAATCTATGAATGTATCTGGGCTCGTAGTTGAAATTTAATTTTGTTAGACATGATTTCTTTGATAGACCAACAAACCCATCAACAAAAACCTGTTTAATTTTGGGCACTTTGTCCTCCATGCCACTCTAGAAAAACGTCCTGGTGTCCGCTCGTCATGTTGAGTTCCGCAACACCATCCAGTGGAACAATTTTGCAGATGGTTTTCCCAATTTGTTCATAGAAGATGTGAAATACATGGCGGGGAAAGACGGTAATTGAATGTGTACAGACTGTTGAATTGCTATGGTAATTGAATGTGTACATACAGTTGAATTGCTATGGTAATGAAATGTGTACATACAGTTGAATTGCTGTGGTAATTAAATGGGTTCATACTGTTGAATTTCTATTCCATCTTGTAAAATTTAGTATTTTAAATGTATCCACAAAAGAGTGGGAGATCAGAGGTCAGCATGATATTCATGTACTACCAATTGTAGTTATAAATATAATTCTTATCCATTATAACTCAGAATAGATTCAACATTACTCAGAATTGGTTCAGTATTACTCAGAATAGATTAAGTATAACTCAGTATAGATTCAGTATTACTCAGAATAGATTCAGTATAACTCAGTACAGCTTCAGTATAACTCAGTATAGATTCAGTATAACTCAGTATAGATTCAGTATAACTCAGTATAGATTCAGCATAACTCAGTATAGATTCAGTAAAACTCAGTATAGATTCAGTATAACTCAGTATAGATTCAGTATAACTCAGTATAGATTTAGTATTACTCAGAATAGATTAGGTATAACTCAGTATAGATTCAGTATTACTCAGAATAGATTAGGTATAACTCAGTATAGATTCAGTATTACTCAGAATAGATTAGGTATAACTCAGTATAGATTCAGTATAACTCAGTATAGATTCAGTATAACTCAGTATAGATTCAGTATAACTCAGTATAGATTCAGTATAACTCAGTATAGATTCAGTATAACTCAGTATAGATTCAGTATAACTCAGTATAGATTTAGTATTACTCAGAATAGATTCAGTATAACTCAGTATAGATTCAGTATTACTCAGAATAGATTAGGTATAACTCAGTATAGATTCAGTATTACTCAGAATAGATTAGGTATAACTCAGTATAGATTCAGTATATGAGCTTGCTACCAGATGATTAAAGTAAATATGATAGCCCTACATTCAATCATTCAATCATTTAATCTTTGTCTCTTGGAAGGGATCCAGACAGCTGAATCTTAACACTCCAATAATCCATGGATGTCCAGCTGTAAAATCCATTAGGCTGTTAACAATGTCAATAAGAAATGTTGTAAAAATTACTTACAAACATTAAGGATAGAAAAGTTTAGGATGATTTCTTTTCAAACAGCTTTGTAACAGATTTTTTTTTTTTTTACTTGAGCATTCTATGTGAGCATAAGCATAATGATCAGAAGCCAAGGTGGCAGGTTCAGAAGGACATTTTTTTGTATCAGACGCCAACCAGTTTAAAATTGACGACCAATGGCTGGTGCCGTAAATTTAAAAGTGATGTACTTCCTTTTCATACAGTGATATTCATCGGCAGCTTTCACTCGCCTGCTATTGTGTTTGAGCAGCTCTCGGTTCTCTATGCCTTCCCAAGGTAAGTAACTCTCAGTTCTCTATGCCTTCCCAAGGTAAGTAATTCTCAGTTCTCTATGCCTTCCCAAGGTAAGTACAGTGGAACCCCTCTATAACGCGATGATCGGGGTCCATAAAATCGGATCGTGTTAAAAGCGGGGTTGCATTAATGCACGGTTCTACAATATTTAACTTTTTTCCGAGAACATATACGTGTATACTATTTATAGTTCTACCAGAAGAAAGCCTCATTTTCGGCATTAATTTTGATACTAGTTTGAGCGTGGTGCGTTTAGGGGCTCATTTTTTTACGATATTTTGAAAAGTTGTGATTTTTTTCGCTTTAAAAAATGGCTTTCCAAGCAATGGATAAAGTTTTCAAAGAACTTAGGGCTTATGGTGTAAATGAATTTCAAATTTTCTGGAGCTATGCTACAAACGCGTTAGATCCGAATTCGCGTTATGGCAGGGCGCGTTATAGCTGGGTTCCACTGTAACTCTCTGTTCTCTATACTTTCTCTATGCTTTCCCAAAGTAAGTAACTCTCAGTTCTCTATGCCTTCCAAAGGTCAGCTCAATTTTACTGCAATTTTAGTTGTTTTTAAGATACTTGTAAATTTGACTTGGTTAAGAAAATGTAATCATGATTAATCGTATCCGGAAATTTGTTTGAAAGAAAATGATGGAAAATTATCTTTCATTACCTGGCTTACCTATCATGACATAACTTATCTGTCATGACATGACTTATCTGTTATGACATGACTTATCTGTCATGACATGACTTATCTCTCAATACATGGTTTATCTATCATGACATGACTTATCTATTATGACATGACTTATCTATCATGACATGACTTATCTATCATGACATGACTTATCTATCATGACATGACTTATCTATCATGACATGACTTATCTATCATGACATGACTTATCTATCATGACATGACTTATCTGTCATGACATGACTTAGCTATCATGACATGACTTACTTATCTCTCATGACATGACTTATCTCTCAATACATGGTTTATCTATCATGACATGACTTATCATTATTTTCTTCAGATATTTGTCCCGGTCATTTCACTTCATCCTCCCGTACTTCCCGACGGGGACGATGGAAAGAGTGGACACAGAGGGACAGATCGCCACGGCAAAGGTACGTCATCAGGGCCGGGGTTCAAGGTGTTTAATTCATTTTTTAATTAGTTGCATGTCCAGGAGATGATTGTGTTTAGTCCCGACTTAATTCCATCAGACCCTTCTCTTTCAACAGACATTGGCTACTCTGCTATCCGCCATACCATTGAGTGCCCGAGGGCCCGCTCAAATCATCATTTATGACATCCACGCCCTGCAGGAGAGATTCTACTTCTCCGATAATGTTATACCGAGGTGAGTGAGGAACTTATCTCCCCTTTTTTACCACAACCAACACATTTCAATGATGACCCAGTTTTTGGTCAGACTCTTAATAATATAACAGTTACGTGTAGGTAGATAGAACGTCCCATTAAAAATACGTGGGTGAGGCGGGGTTGTGCAGTATAATCGACACTTAGAAAAAAAATATGGTGCAGAAAGCTATCATCAACTCGATGAGTGGCACCCGAGATCTCTTCCCCAAGATCTTGAGAACTAGATGAGTGGCACCCGAGATCTCTTCTCCAAGATCTTGAGAGCAGATCTTGAGAACTAGATGAGTGGCACCCGATCTCTTCCCCAAGATCTTGAGAGCAGATCTTGAGAACTAGATGAGTGGCACCCAATCTCTTCCCCAAGATCTTGAGAGCAGATCTTGAGAACTAGATGAGTGGCACCCGATCTCTTCCCCAAGATCTTGAGAGCAGATCTTGAGAACTAGATGAGTGGCACCCGATCTCTTCCCCAAGATCTTGAGAGCAGATCTTGAGAACTAGATGAGTGGCACCGGATCTCTTCCCCAAGATCTTGAGAGCAGATCTTGAGAACTAGATGAGTGGCACCCTATCTCTTCCCCAAGATCTTGAGAGCAGATCTTGAGAACTAGATGAGTGGCACCCGATCTCTTCCACAAGATCTTGAGAGCAGATCTTGAGTCTGAGTAGACGATCACATTGAGTCCCGGGAGCTCCGTCCCTTCCAGCGTGTGATACACACTCTCTAGGGCCCTGGGAATGGCCTCAAGCTCCGTCTCTTGCAATGTGTGATACACACTCTCTAGGGCCAGCCTCAAGCTCTGTCTCTTCCAACGTGTGATACACACTCTCTAGGGCCTGGGAATAGCCTCAAGCTGCACATCAAATTTTGATGCTACAGGCCCCGAACTCACACAATCAACCTCTCATTTCAGCTTCTATAGTCATCACTCTTCATAGCCTACCCACTCCCCCAAGGTCTGTAAACCTATTTAGTATTTGACCATGATGGTAGCGGCCGTCGATGACAATACCGGTAATAAAATTATCACGTTTCTTTGAGAGGCGCCGAAAGTTGCTCTTAAAAATTCAGTATCAATTAAGATTTGAGTCATATCTTTGTGTCATATTTAATTTCAGACTGGAGACAGCCATTCCTCTCCTCCATAGAGAACTAGCCACCCTCCCAGACAAGGAAAGTCTTGTGTTTGCATTCCCGGATGATGGCGCCTACAAAAGGTTCCACCTCATGTTTCCAGACGACGAGAGGCTGATCATTTGTGCCAAGAAGAGAATTGGGGACAACAAAAAAATTGTCACTGTCAAAGATGGTAAACAAACGGCCATTTTGTTGAATTCTTCCAGACCTGGCCAGTTTTTGATAGAAATCCTCAGATCTGAAACTTGAGGAAGGTGTCCTAACATGACCTGACAGGACCTAGCTAGCATGATCTAAATCTAACATGACCTGACCTTACATGACCTAACATGACCTGACTCTGCATGACCTAACTAGTGTGATCTGACAGGACCTGACCTTACATGACCTAACATGACCTGATTAATGTGACCTAACATGACCTAACAAAGATGACCTAACCAACGTGACCAAACATGATCTGACCTAACATGACCTACCATGACCAAAATGAGGGACATATCAATGGAAGAAATGAAGTTGTAAATAAACCTAAAATTAAAATATACAATTTTTAGATACGACGATGTTTTAAAAAAACTAAAACAGAAGAGAATAACATAGAAAGGTTAAGAGATTCAAATCGGAGAACTTGATTTTTTTTTTTTTTTAAATAACCTGTTTCAGAATTTTAGAAACTTTTTAGTACAATTGAGTTAAAAATTAAAGTTATATAATGATGTCGAGTTTGATGTCTAACCACTAAAACAATTATATCAACCCAACTTGCCCAACAGGCAACCCCAGTGGCAAGCACGTGATCATCGTTGATGACCTCGTCCAGACTGGAGGGACTATTAAGGAATGTGCCAAGGTAATGAAGGGACCTGGTGCGGTCTTTTTGTTGCTATGTTTTCTGTAACAGTAAGGTATTTCTGTAAATAAATAAATACATTTAAAAAAAAATAATTTAAAGTCTGGCTACGTCCAGATCATACTGTCTGTTTACACCACAATTAACAGAAACCTACTCTTGGAGACAGACAGAATTTTGGTTTCGGATCCGAAAGTTGCCATTTGATCACTTTTGCTGGTTTTGGAAGAAACAGAAATGTTAACGTTTGGTTTCATTTAGGTTTTGGCCAAAAGTGCGAGAGGCGGAATGAAAATATGTTGTGTTTTTCGCATGCGTTATCTATGGATGTCTCAGTGCCAAATCATCTCTGGCATTCAAATTGGGCTATATTGATGGACCTGCACATTGTATGGATAATTTTAATGTTATCATCAGCGTTTAATCTCCCCAACTTTACAAGACTACGTATTTTTTCAAAATGCATTCTCAACTTCTCCACACAGCAGCGTTAGACTCTGACACATTCTTTAGAATCTAGTTTTGTTCTGTTACGCACTGGCTTCTAATATGAGAAATTAATCTCCTATTTTAATTTTATGGCTCGTTCAAACACAGTGCCTAACAAAGGACGATACCATAGAGTCGACAATATTAAAGATACGACACCCAAAACAGTTGCCAGGTACAACTAATAAGATTTATTAAGTCTTAAGATAATTACAAAAGAAAATTAAAAAAAAATAATGACAATCTTCAACTTACAGTATGGTAGATCTTGTACCGGTACACAGTAAACATAGTTAGTATAATGTGCCAATGAATAATGATGAAATGCGAAATAAACACATATGAGCACACAAATACACAAAGAATAATACACGCCTCTTAAAGTTAATAATATCTATCTGAATCTCCGTCTCTCCGTATCTGTCAAACCCTTATATGCATGTAGCCTAAAACGCTTCCAGAAAAGAATTATGACGTGTTGTTTACATTTCTCGGGTTATCGAGAAGATTCGACAAGATACCAGGAGACATACTACCCAATGTGTAATTGGCAGTGGTTGTATACAAGATACCAGGAGACATACTACCCAATGTGTAATTGGCAGTGGTTGTAAACAAGATACCAGGAGACATACTACCCAATGTGTAATTGGCAGTGGTTGTAAACAAGATACCACGAGACATACTACCCAATGTGTAATTGTCAGTGGTTGTAAACAAGATACCAGGAGACATATTACCCAATGTGTAATTGGCAAAGTTTTCGCAGGGGGAATGTGTGCTACATAACAGTTCCATCACTTCTCTTCCCTTCTCCCAATTCCGCTTGCCGTAGTTTTAGACCACAATAGGTTAACTCAAAATAAAATCAGGCTCCTTTGGTGGCTCGCCACTTAAAAATGTTGTGGCCCAGACAGATGTGTTGTGGCCCATACGGATGTGTTGTGGCCCATACAAATGTATCACAAATGAACTTATTTCTTCATTTAAATAGCGATTATTTTAATAGTGGCGTAAACCCTGTTATGTAGAACACTTTTTCCGTGCTTCATTTTACTTGACCTAAATTAGAATCCTAGCAGACAGTAACGTCTGTTGTGGGCATGGCCTATTCATTTGAAGTATCTTGTTTACCAATTAAACACGTTAGACTGTCTTCATGGTATTTTCTCAAATGTGCTGGATAACCTGAGAAATGTAAACAATACGTCATAAGTCTTTCTGGAAGGCAGGGCTTACGCGACCTATCTAAGGGATTGACAGGCACGGACGGAGAGACGGAGATTCAGATAGCTTTTATTAACTTCACGAGACGTGTATTATTCTTTGTGTTCTTATATATGTGTTTATTTCGCATTTCATCATTATTCATAGGCACATTATTCTAACTGTGTTAACTGTGTACCGGTACAAGATCTACCATACTGTAAGTTGATGATTTGTTATGATATTTCTTTTCTTTTTGTAATTACATTAATACTTATTAAATCTTATTAATTGTAACTAGAAACTGTTTTGGGTGCCGTATCTTTAATATTGTTGACTCTATGGTATCGTCCTTTGTTAGACACTGCTTACAACGAGCCAATTAAAATTAAAATAGGAGATTAATTTCTCATATTAGAAGCCAGTGCGTAACAACCCAAATTTATATGTATATATATATATTCACACACATCATTTTTATGGATGGTTATGCACCATCTCGTTGTAAAACACCCATCTCTCTCCCCCCCCCCCCCCCTGTCATAAGTTATTAAAAAAAATTGCTATTTAATAACTACTGAAACAAAAGGATTTGTGTAAACAAAGCTATGTTAGGGGAACCTAATTGTTCACAGCATTATGATTAAGTCTAGAATGACGCAAAACTAATTCAGGTATACGCAAAAGCATACGTCTGCATTCTGAATTTACAACAAAAAAATCCTCGGCATGGGGCTTTCCGCTGCCCTGCCACATTTTTGTCTGTTAAAGTGGCAAATGACGGGCACATTTTATTTGCAAAATGCACTGTATATAAATATATAAACGTCAGTCATCTACTTTGAGAAGTGACCTTTATTAGACATGCGATGCAAATAGTTATTGTCTACATCATTTTAATTTATTTACTATTACAATACGGTACTGTACGAGCTTGAGGTGGTAAAGTTTTATTCCGAGACAATATTTTACTAAACTGGGAGTTCCAGTGTAACCAGGCCAGCACCAGTGTAACCGAGCCAGCACTGTATTATCATGCTAAACATTGCTCAACATTCGTTCGACATTGAAATTAATGCAAGAAAATAGCATCAAAAGTTCTTCAGTCCTCTATACTGCAATGCTGGGTCTTAAAGGTCTTTATTAATAGCCACATAAGAACAAAGTGGCAATTATAGGTATTGCATGGCAATTGAAAACAAATTGCCATAGGAAATTACATTATCTTGGTACAAAGTATTAGTAAAACTTGGTATGTATGAGAAGGGTAGAGTATGTAGACATAAACTGTATGAATATGTTTGTTTACCACAGGTTCTGCTTGAGCACGGAGCCACGGCCGTCAGCGCCTACGTCACACACCCGGTTTTTCCTGGCAACTCCTGGAAGAAATTCTTGGACAGCGACCCCCCTTTTGCCAACTTTTGGATCACGAACTCTATTCCCCACGCCGAGGAGATCGGCAAACACCCGCCATTTAAACTGTTGTCACTAAGCACCATCATTACGGAGAACCTGCTTGGGTTTGATCTCATGCCATCACACTGACAAACTCAAATGTTGAGATGATTTACTTTAGGAAATAAAGTGCCATGGGAGGTAATTTCTAGACCGTTCCAAATGTTTGAGACCAAGGGAGCTCAACCTTGGGATAACTGGCGCCATAGTCCATTGTTTAGTTGTGTGTGTTTAACCTTGTGCCTAAAGGTTGAGGACCCTAAACCTAGTCACAATCATTTGCTTTCTAACTAATTTCTAAACTAAAAATTTATTCCTTACTAATCAAAGCATTGTTCTATAACCTACACCAACGAAAATTTAAATTAAACTCTGATTTTAAGTAGTTTTTTTCCCCTTGGTGTACTTCTGCTGATTTGAAACTTTCCTCGTTATTTAAAATGGATTCTTTCTGATGGCGCTAATCGAAATCCATATTTCTAATCTTTGAAAAAAATTAAGTTTAATGATGAAAAGTCAGGATGATTAACTGTTTCGCTGCGGAATTTTTTTATTAAAAAAAATGTACATTTTTTTTGGAAGAGTAGAAAAAGAGTGAGAGCTTGGGTTTATTAAAAAATATTTAAAATATTATTGTTTGGTTTATAAGACTAAACTTGGTATCAAATGAAAGGTAATTGAAAGGACTATTTGTTTGTACACTTATTTCTTCACTTTAAATAAAATAAGTTACAGAAAAGAACCATAAAATGTGAAAACATTTTATGCCAAACTATTTTTCCCCAAATCCTATGATGTACGCATACCTTATCTTCACTTCTATAACTCAATTCCTCTAAAACTACTTCTATCGGAATCATGCGATGCATCTAAATATAAATCATCTTCACTATCAAAAGAAATAGTATAAAACAATTCCAAAGCTTTTTGAACTGTTGATCGTCTAGGAAACTTTCCTAGGGCCTAGAGTAATGGCAACAGTAGAAGAAAAAAAAACGTGAAGAAAATCGTCAAAATAATGCTTCAAATGACAACAAATAAACCTTGGTTTTGCTTGTAAACAATGAAGTACCACTCTTCTATGTAAAAGTCTTATTTAAAAATAGCTCTTAAAAAGTTTAACCGAGAAATAGCAAAGAAACAAAACATGATATTGAAACAACTCACAGCGCTTTGGTCCGTGCTTTTGAGAACGGCGGAAGAACGCAGTGTGTGTTGTTCCGCATCGAAAGAGTTAAATAAAATACTCTTAAATGTGACCTTAATTTTGACCTACTTACATAAAAGCAGTTTTCAGTTGGGTTAATTGTGACATGTATTATAAGCAGTTTTCTTGTTAAATGTGATATTCATGTTATTTGTTTAAAAGCTATTGTAAAACATATTTGCTATTGTTTTGTGGAGTGTGATGCTACAGAGTAGCCACTATAGTGTGATACTACCGAGTAGCCAGTATCGTTCTTACTTAACTTATTGTATATTTAAAATAGATAATAACTGACAAAATAGCTAGCAGCATTGATTCCAGATCACACTCTGTGTACTCAACAATAAATGAGTGCACCTCACTCTCTTTGGATGGGAAATCAAAAATGGATAACATTTCATTAAATTCTATATCCCTGGTCTGCAATCCGTGGATGACAACCTCAAATTGTGTAGATGACGGTTATCTGTTTTTAAAGAAATATTCTTTTTAAATTATTTTTTTTTTAAAATAAAATTTTAACAAATATTTTCTTCTTTGTCAATGTACATTTTTAATTTATCGGGGACGCAAGCACTTTGCTTCTGTCGAATAGGGTGAAAACTCAAAAAAGGCTCGAAACGTATGTTCAACTTTATGTCAATAAGAATAACATAATTTTATGTTTAGCTGCACGATTACAAATTTTTAATTCAATTATGCGAATCAATTTAATGAAGTGAGTTATAAATGAAATACATTCCAACTTCCAGATTTTCAAGGGTCCATATCTACCCAATTTGGGAACCCCGATTTTTTAACTCTTTAAATTTATGATTACCGTCTGATCTCATTCTCAGTGACCTATATAAATGACCTGTAGAGATGACCTATATAAATGACCTGTAGAGATGACCTATATAAATGACCTATAGAGATGACCTGTCTAGAGACACGGTTGAAGCACCGTTGAAGTAAACATGGATTAATTTCTTCTCCAATTTGTATTGGATCATTTTCTTTGGTGCCAGACTGTCACAACTTAAGAAACATCTTCATGACAAGTCAGTCACATCGACAGTCTTGCAACTGTCATCTTGTCAGGCTGACTTCTACAGTCTTGCAACTGTCATCTTGTCAGGCTGACTTCTACAGTCTTGCAATTGTCATCTTGTCAAACTGACTTCTACAGTCTTGATATTGTCATCTTGTCAGACTGACTTCTACAGTCTTGCAATTGTCATCTTGTCAAACTGACTTCTACAGTCTTGATATTGTCATCTTGTCAGACTGACTTCTACAGTCTTGATATTGTCATCTTGTCAGACTGACTTCTACAGTCTTGCAACTGTCATCTTGTCACGCTGACATCTGCAGTCTTGCAACTGTCATCTTGTCAGGCTGACTTCTACAGTCTTGCAATTGTCATCTTGTCAAACTGACTTCTACAGTCTTGATATTGTCATCTTGTCAGACTGACTTCTACAGTCTTGCAATTGTCATCTTGACAGACTGACTTCTACAGTCTTGCAATTGTCATCTTGTCAGACTGACATCTACAGTCTTGCAATTGTCATCTTGTCAGACTGACATCTACAGTCTTGCAATTGTCATCTTGTCAGACTGACTTCTACAGTCTTGCAATTGTCATCTTGTCAGACTGACATCTACAGTCTTGCAATTGTCATCTTGTCAAACTGACATCTACAGTCTTGATATTGTCATCTTGTCAAACTGACATCTACAGTCTTGCAATTGTCATCTTGTCAAACTGACATCTACAGTCTTGATATTGTTATCTTGTCAAACTGACATCTACAGTCTTGATATTGTCATTTTGTCAAACTGACATCTACAGTCTTGATATTGTCATTTTGTCAAACTGACATCTACAGTCTTGATATTGTCATTTTGTCAAACTGACATCTACAGTCTTGATATTGTCATTTTGTCAAACTGACATCTACAGTCTTGCAATTGTCATCTTGTCAGGCTGACATCTACAGTCTTGCAATTGTCATCTAGTCAAACTGACATCTGCAGTCTTGATATTGTCATCTTGTCAAACTGACATCTACAGTCTTGATATTGTCATCTTGTCAAACTGACATCTACAGTCTTGATATTGTTATCTTGTCAAACTGACATCTACAGTCTTGATATTGTCATTTTGTCAAACTGACATCTACAGTCTTGATATTGTCATCTTGTCAAACTGACATCTACAGTCTTGATATTGTCATCTTGTCAAACTGACATCTACAGTCTTGCAATTGTCATCTTGTCAAACTGACATCTACAGTCTTGATATTGTCATCTTGTCAAACTGACATCTACAGTCTTGATATTGTCATCTTGTCAAACTGACATCTACAGTCTTGATATTGTCATCTTGTCAAACTGACATCTACAGTCTTGCAATTGTCATCTTGTCAAACTGACATCTACAGTCTTGCAATTGTCATCTTGTCAAACTGACATCTACAGTCTTGATATTGTCATCTTGTCAAACCGACATCTACAGTCTTGCAATTGTCATCTTGTCAAACTGACATCTACAGTCTTGATATTGTCATATACGATTCTTGATATTAATGTTTAAAGTTCAATCGGTGCATGTTCTGTTCTCTTGTTCAAAAAAAAAAAGAGATCTACTTAATAACTTTGATTTATGAGCTGACTAGCTGCTCACGTCACGCCATCTTAAAAAGTCATCTTGAAAAGCCATGTTCAAAAGTCATCTTAAAAATTCATCTAAAAAAAGTTAAAAGTCATCTTAAAAAAGTCATCTTAAAAAGTCATCTCAAATGATGAGATTTTCTTCAAATTTTATGTTTTACCTGCTGTGTTACTGTGTAATCATTTTTTTTTGTTTGAGAAACAGTTCTTGTCATGGCTGGACTTGAGCTGTTTTCCTCTTTCTCAATCAGTTGACATGAACTTTGAAACGTTTACTTACAGTCAGTGTAGTGTTTCCGTGGCTGTTAGCACCAGTGGTGAGGCGTGATGGCACTCGTTTTTCGGCCACACTCATTTATTGACCAAAAAATATTTTAAGCACGTTGATGTTTTGTAATTTAAAAAATAGATATATCATCATAGTTAACAATATTGATGCAAAAATTCAGTAAGTCTCACCTAGGCCGGAGGGCTCATACCCAAGCCGGAGGGCACATGCCCAAACTTAACTGGATCAGAATGATGATGATTATGATAAACTCAGGGTCTAAAGGTCCCTGACCCAAAGGGTCATCCAGAACCCTCTTGTCATTTCATCATGTTTCTGCCCTTGTTATTTGATAACATTTTACTGACTCTTTACAGTAAAGATTTATTCCTACAATATCAGTCACTGATTACTGTACTGTAAGCTTTCTAAAAGTTTCATTCATTATTGTGTATGGCAACTCCTAAGTTTCTGAAGATAATATAAGAATTGAGTCTGATAATTCCCCAAGATATCAATACATAATTAAGATCAGAAATGAAACTGATGAATGGATCAGAACATGATGCGAAAATGGCTGCTGTAAAATGGCTGACTTTGTTGAATTGTTTTTTTTTTTTGTTGATTTATTTACAATCCGAACCAATGTTATAATTAAAATTACAATTTTGTTGCAAATTTGTACATTTTAATTCATATACTCAATGGAATAGCTCTTCAGATGAGAGCCTTGTTTGAGATGTAGGCCTACACATGTTATAGTAACGGACCACAGTGATAAACATATTTCTTTTCTGTCCTGATTTCTACATGATGAAACGATTGACCTAGAAGTCTAAAATGTAGCACAATGATTGTTAAAACTGACCATGGTCACTAGTTACTTTTGTCATTGTATCGAGTCTCATGATATCCACGTTGTAACCAGTTCATTTGTTACAATGTCTGTGTTTTTACCAACTGCTGCTCGGTAAATTTAAACGTAGACCCATTCATTAATCATGTTCGAATCGGGAAGAAAGAAATTGAAATCTCATATGCATATCCAATCCACTATTTGTTATTGTAACAGCTTTTACTACCAGATATTTTGTGCTCAACATTTTATTTATGCCACTAATTTTGTTTTAAGTCTAATAAGCTGTATAGATTGAGTGCCAATGTGTCATTAAAAGATATTCTCATGTGTTGAAACAAAAATTGATTTGGTTTTCAAGGTTCATGTATGTTGACACTATGAACTGCTTAACTACATAACTAGGTAACTACATAAATAACAAATCAATGGTGTATGTGGAGACCGCTTGTATGTCCAAACGTAAACTAAATGGGAAGTGGCATATGATGCATGTCTATTACCCAGACCACTTTAAATCATGAATTTCTGGTAGTTTTATTCTCACTTAATACTTTAAAATGAAAATGACTAGACACTA